CAAATGAATTTTACAAAAGAAAATGTTTGCTGTTACAGCAAAGCCGAGAAATAACGGCGTCCGACCCGTGAAGAACTTTCGGATAAGTATGAAGACGTGGTCGCAGGCAGCTCAAAAATGTAGCCTCTATAGCCATCGTCGAGTCGATGAGGATTATGCCTTCACCTTTGGCATCCCGGTATGTTTGTCCGTATCTCCGCGGAGGTCTCGGCATAGTCTTCGCATATACTGCTGGCGACCATTGGCAACCTTTTTGCTCTTCACGGTCTATATCCCATTTATAAATATTTAATCTGAGTTAACTAAAAGCCTAGAGGGTGATCTTGAACAGAGATGGTAAATTTAGCTCGCAAATAAAGTATCCGAAAGCTAGCAATAAGAAGAGAAAGCATGAAATAAAAAAAATATGAAAATAGGATCCTAGCGGTTTTGGCTGTTGGGTTTTGGAACAGGGCAGACCTGGGACATTTCCATCAGTCAGGGTTTCAATTTGACAGACCAAAGGAAGATTTGCCTGCTGGACCGATGCACGAAGGCGAAAGAAAACCGGAGACCCAGTCATGCAAAGCTTGTTTCCTGCAGAACGATTTTGAGAACAGAACCCCCCTCCCCTTCTGACTTCCCTCCGATTGTGTCGCCTTCGTCAGACCGAAGGCGTTACATCGAACCGACATCCGTGTACCTACGCCTCTTAGTGTCGTCGGTTAAATTGCATTTTTATATTTGTCCGGTCCAATGGGTGTGCATGCAAACGGCGTTATTCAGTACCGCCCAAGCGGTGGAATCGCCAAAAGGTCTGCCTACTAACAGCTCTCAATTAAGCAGTAAATAGCGTTAACGAGACGAAAATGGTGATAACTAGATTAATTAAGTCTAATTAGCCTACTGGTCGGATTTAAAAAAGCAGGCGTATATTTTTATGGACCGTCCAATCTGTGATGGTTTACATAACACTACAACATGACGAAACACAACCAGATGAGGCAAATCTCATGCAAAAGCTTTCTGAATTTTACCAAGCGGCTAAATATATACACTAATCATCTTTCATCCAGAAAACCCTTCATATCACATAGAATAGCCAATCTCAAACACGCGATACGGCAGTTTCAATTGATATACTGTTTTAAGTGTGCTATATTCTCTTGTGCGTGCCACTTGTGTGGATGCTTAAAGTATCTCTCTCCGTAAAGACGCCCGCTTGTCGCAGCGAAACTAACTCAATAATAAATAAAATCAATTTAGATAAGGCATTTTTTTAATATTATCAAAGATATATTACTAGCCACATAGCAAAATTATCAAATATGAAACTTTCGATATTAAAGTAAAACAAGTTTATCGTTCCTGATAGCGTTCTAAGCATCACTCGATTCGTATTTAATGTGAAAATAAATAACTTAAAAATAACATTTTACAATATTCCTTCTCTTAAATATAGGTGTAAAAATTCCACACAAACAACACACTGTCATAAATTCATCAGAATCGTACTTCTAATTAGCTATTGACGTCAGTGACGTTAGCTAATGACGTTATTTAACGGAAGTGCTTGTTTTTATGAAAACATCTCAGATGGGGTCCACACATTGTCCTGGATAGACCTGTAGACCATCTATGACCTCCTAGTTGTCGTGACCTAATCCGTCTAAAGCTGTTAATGTTTTTCTCATAGTTTGAAATGCTTAATCACCACGCTAACTCCCGATACGTATGCTCACCCGTCCAATGTAATCCCCCCAAAATGACTATCTCATTATAAACGTTAAGCGTAAGCTTCTTTGTCAACGTTAACGGTCTGATTATTTTTCGATCACTTTTTTCGGCCACACTTTGTAGAAGATGATGTATTCAAGATCACATAAAAGAAGCTCTTTACAAAACAGGCACGGGCGGTGACCATATGTACTCGCTTCGGGGTACAGCAGCCGTGTCGGAGCAACTTCCCTTTATACTAGGATGGAAATGACCGAAGGGCACTCCTCTAGTTGGTATTGCAAGAGTTAAGGAACACTTCATACAATTTCGCTGCCTGCAGCCGACTGTCATTTGTTGGGTGAGTCTCAAGGTGTACTAACTGGGTATTGTTTGATAAAACCACCGACTAACTGCTACTGTTTCCCTGAGCCTTCACTCAGCTCTAGCTAACCTTTTTATTTTGTAATGCACTTCGTCGGCAGTAATCAGCCAAGCAATCTCATTGGGTAGCTTTAGCCGCTGTTGACTTTCGTGGAAGCAAACGAAATCTGTCGCCAATCGACAAAATGAGGTCGAACCGGGCATATTATTTGTACGAGGTTGAACTGGGGACACTTCAAGGAACGCTCGAATGCTAACCACCGCCCTTTATATAGACGCAGGCAGTTCGTCTATATAAAAGTTCGTCTATATATATAGGCTGTAAGCTTTTTGTTTTATGTCTGGCGCTATTTTTAATAAGCGTTGCTTCAGCCAGCTGATTGACCCGTCAAGTAAGATACAAAGTCTTGCTGTCTGTGCTTGGTTTCGAGTCTGAACCCCATTTTAGGCTGAGGCGCTAAATATAATGGTAAGCATGTTAACACTGCGTTATTATAGTGAGACGCTATTACCCTGTGTACCACTACTTCGCCCTTTATCTCTCCTATCATATTCAGAAAAAAAGTCACCGTGTCGCTTAACTTTACCCGATTATTGATTTTAACTCTTAGATTCCCCTTGGCTCTTTTAAAGCTTGACACCCTACGATTAAGGAAAGATGCGATGTCCATGGCCGTAGCGGCGACAACTAGTATTTCTTAGAGTCCTGAAGGCTTCGCAATTTTCAAGTGTCGCATAAGATGAGAAAAACAGTGAAAACGCGGCGCTATGCAACTCTGCGGGAATCTGTCGGCCACCCGTGGCAGTGCTTAAAGTGCTTCTTGACCTATTCTTCATTTTATGTTCCATGCACATGTGAACTTACTCTAAGGTACCCTGTTAATTTACTCGATTACTCTAGGATACGACAGTCACACGGTGGACAACTATCTGGCCCATAGAATGGTAGAGCAGTGTTACTCCCGCCTGTCGATCCTACTGAGGTGGCTTAGATTCAGCAGAGCTAGCTATCAACATCGACGTCAAAGCTTCTGAGCCGACTATTGCCGCCTGCGTCTTCGCCGTCGACGTCGTCCTATTCCCAATCTTTAATTCTAAGGCCACTACTTGGTGCACTATAGGTACTACCACTAGTGCTGATACGTAATTGCTTCATCGTAACGGCAAGTTTCTCATATAAATGGTAATTATATGGCTGGTCGGACAAGCTGGCCGCATCGAGAGTGGTCCAAGATGTCCTTTCAGTGGACCGCTTGAGAATAAGCGCTGCCCGGCCTAGACGGCGGGAGCATCGGTAGCAGCAACATTTCTTGCTCTCGCATACTTGACCGTCCGGAGGCAAAGAGGGTTTGGCTTACTAAAGCGAACCGGGCTTCGGTTCGGCAGGTTTGCCCACTAGGACACAGAGGATTTGTGAGCTCCTTTAGCAAAGCTAGAGATTGCTTTAGCTAGAGTTCTTTTCTCTCATTAGATAGGGGCAAAAGCTGGAGAGCCAATGCAAGTGAGTGTTTGTGATATGGCCTCTAGTGCTGTGTGCTGATAGTACAAGGCTTACGGCTAGTTCCATGCTCCTATAGGCCTACACTTTCCTATTCTCAGGTAACGCAGTTTACCTTCGGGGTTCGCTCGACTAGGTTATACTTGAGGGTCCAGCATGATGATGCCTGATCACCGGGAATTAACTTCGCTTGACCGCGCCATGAAGCTTCAGGTGCAACCGCACGCTGTTGCTTTGATAGTAGTGTTAACCTAAATGATAGCCGGACTGGAATAAGGTACTTGGGACCTAGGACCGGTTCCGTAAAGTACCTTTGCACCGTCGACGGTTGGCTGCGACAAAAGCGCCATAAGAACGTTAGAGTCGGTACTGCATCAAGGGATCAAGTGTGCTATTAAGAACAAGAAGACCGCTGGAAGAATAGGTCTAGGGAGTGCTCAAGATCATCCCCCATACACAGGCACAGGGTACGACAGAAGGTGAAAAATAGTGCCACGGCGAAGCATAAAAGGCAGTAAGAAAGAAACGAGTCCGGAATTGACTCTCTCTCTCCATATATATATATATATATATATATATATATATATATATATATATATATATATATATACACTGATCATCGAGTTTTGTTAAGTTTGTTGATCTAGCCTACAATTATACGTTTTTAGTACTATATATCGTATACGTTTAGTTAATTTTGAAGAAATGTCTATTGCAGGTTACTGGCCGTTATGGTGAGCTTCAGGATATCCGGCAACGACAAGCCTTTTAAGTTGGTTCACCACTGAAGTGTATAAAGCGGTCCCTCGGAGCACTATCTCTTGATTTGGATTTAACCGGTGAAGCTTATCTAACCTCACGCCTTCCCTAGTAGTAATAGCCACAGAGACTCTACAGCCGGACGTTATAAGGTGCTCTCAGACGAGAATCAGCCTAGCAAAAAAAGGCTCTTAAGGAGAGCAGCGAACAGACTTGAATTTACAATAAAAAATTCTGGCATAGTTACATATGGTAGGGAGCCGTCGAAGATGTAGACGCGATATCAATTATCATTATTATCTAGTTGTACGTACAGGTAACGGCAATTTCCTTACAGCATTAAAAATAGCCTTTCTTAATGCAACACGCCACATAAACCACACACAGTTTTTTTATGTTTATGATAATTATAATGACATAATCAGCTAAGAAACACAATAACTATACACCTACCAATAACAGCATACCATCAAGTACCAAACGATTTCTTAATTTCCTCCCTCGCGTATCGATACGCCGTGGTTCAATGTACGTGTATATCTTTGTACAGTTGTATCTTTCATTGAAACATTCTTATGGCCAGAGTCTAGGCCATGCGGTAAACCACAACGAGCTGACCAGCGATCACTGAATGAGTACTACTGTTATAGCTGGTATTACTTACCTGCGGTGACTTTGACGTCCCTGCTAAGCACGGCCCCAGCTAAATTCTGTCCGGAGCACCGATACGCTGTGTCGTGCACGTCACTCCGGAAGTCCTGTGCCGCAAACGGTTCGAGCACGAGAGCGCCGTCAGAGCGCACGTGGCGGAGATCTGTAGCAGAAAACAGAATACAGGCAAAAGCAGACGCAGCAGAAAACCTCAGTCATGATTAGATGTTCTCTGTGCCGTGCCTTCGCGAGTGGTTAGGTTGATCTGCTTATGGGCAGGTGAGCAAAGGGGTATATAGAAGAGTCGTCGAAGTGCCCTGCTGGATTTAGCTTCACTCAGGAGTCGGTCGCTTCGTGTTGTTCTTGAATGTTCCTGAATGTCAGGAAGAAGTCGTGGTCGGGAATTCGCGGAAGTTCAGGTAAGCAAAGCCAGTTGCGGTTTTACTTACTGTATTAATTACTGTGTGGTACAGGCAAGGATACCTCAGAGTATACTGTGTACCTATATATGGCAGTATTGTAAGGGGTACCGAAATGTGTATGCGGAAGAAGTGGAAAAGAAAATTGAAGTGGAACCATAACGCAGAGGCAAAAACGAGAGTTATGTCTATATTCCATAGCCCTTGCGATGAACCTTAATGTTTATATTTAGTCAACGTATATTCAAAGCATGGAACATGTACATTAGTTCGAGATAAGTTTTATTGAATTTTTCTACTATCTCTAGTTTTTGAGCTGACCGTCACAACATTGTTGGCATCGTTGGATGAAATTAATGAAATTCACAGAGAATCTAGTAAGTTATACATCTGATAATAATTATACAAGCTCATAAAGGAAATCATTTAACGATGTTATTTGCATAAGAAGGCAATTGGCTAGCTAAATAGCTGCTGAAAATCAACATAAAATTCTATATTAGTTGCTAGAACATATCAATTTTGCCAATCAACCAATTGCTGGACAATTTTAGGCGATATTTGATAATATAAGCTGACTGTGATAATTCGTAACACAGTGATCTTGATAACTAAGGCAACATGTAAGGTTTCAAAGTTAAACAAAGTAGACAGGTGAAATAAAATACCCTAAACACCGCATTAACTTGCTTGTTGATCAAGGTAGCGACCTGGCAACGCTGGTCTATTCACGTGCTCACTTGAAATTGGTTTGTCATTGAGGCAATGATTTGTGCCGTGAATTTCCTGAGAATTAACTTCACAGCTTCTCGCATTATGGATTACTTACTAGGCACGGTGGGGGCCTCGCTGCCATCGCGATGTATCCAGGTTATTCGTGGCGGGGGCTGACCCTGTACGGCGCAGGGGATCACAACTCCGCTGCTGTTGAGGAAACGAACCCGGGATGGAGGTTCCTCATGAAATGACGGAGCCTGATACTTGCTTGCCTCCGTAAAGCTGCCAATTGTGAGTAACAACAACCAGCTCCCGAAAGCACCCACTGCACCGTCGAAACTGACACCTACGCCAGCTCCCTGACCACCCCTGCCACCTGCGAAGGAAAAACAGAATGGATAACAGAATATAACACATAGACTGGTAAGGGTCGTACTTGATAATATATGTTTACATTTGGGCATGTTGGTTATTATTAAAGTGAAATTAAATAATTTAAACGTAGTGGTCCTAAGCCGAACGCAGACAAACCCGTTTCCAGCCGTGTGCCTACGCACGCGCTTTCTGTTGCGATCTGATGCAACGTCGAACGGCTTAACACCGAACGTAAAACTCAGAACACTCAAGTAAAAGTCAAGTGATTATCGAGTTTCAATGTTTAAATGATCGCATTGGCGTCAGCGCCTTGCTGTGCGTGTTTGTATATAGTTGACCTTTTTCCGAAGAATACTTTTTTCACACTATAAATTAAACGAGAATTTAACGTATTTATACTGTTAATGCGTTACGCAATACGCAGACAGTTCGGGGTAGCTTTTCCTTCTGATCCTATACTATTGCGTAATGTTCTACAAATTTATTATCTGTTGAGTGAAAAAGCACCTCTTCCAGCTACTTCACTGCCCTGATACGAAACGATTGAAAAGCTCTTTTAGAAACACGTACCTTGTGGTTTTTGCATAACCAATGCAAGCTTATTGTTTGATATGCGTAGCTTGAAGTTAGTAAGTATCTAGAACGACCAGACAATTAGTCTGACCCAGACATACCCGCGTCGTGTATGAAAACCGACATATTCGGGAAACTATTATCCAACACTCAGATACAGAGTCCTTTTTGCCCTCTTAGGTCACTTTTGGTAGAGATGAAATTGCTTTTGACCAATCAGCATAAGTTAATGGATGCGGCTAACCGAACAGAGTGAAGAACCCGATTGAGCAAACTCGGAAGGAGTTCGGAGACTATGAAGCAATCCAACGAAGGACTAGCGCCAGAGGGACTGCGTTCATCCTTGTCGACTCGGTTGTAGAACACAGAGACAGCCCCAAGTCAATCGCTCCCGGATACCTGCGTATATACAAATACGCGTCATGATTGTCATGTCATATGTCGCACAACATGTTTGATATGAGCCCTACATATACACAGGGCAAAGAAAAAGTTTCCTGAAGATTTACACACTGTTTTCATTCAAGTTGTTTTTTACTCGTAATTTTACTCTCTTATTACTTTAGCAAACGTCAAATGACAACTATTCAATTGTCAAGTGACATTTTCCATACTATATAATAATGTTGGAAGGGCGCGGTGTATCGCGCAACTTATTAACTTCGTTATATCTGTATCCAGACACGAGGAGTATCGAAAGCAGATCAGATTATACATTACGATCTTAACAGCTGAAGCAATAACGTGCATACAGGCTACTTTTAACTAATAAAAGCCAACGTATTCAAAAAACGATGCGTATAATAGCCAATACGATGCGCAGTAGCCACCTACAACTCTACCTGTTATCACCTTAAACCCTCTACATGATTCTATCTTTCATTTCGGTAGTGTCTTTTTGCTGAGGACTTGAAAATGACTGTATTTGTTTGACGTTCATCCGCACGGTAAAATGTCGAGTTTTCAAAAATCACCAAAGTTCAGACCGCGCTCTCTGTTGCAGCTCCTTCGAGAAACCGCATAACTTATGTAGAAAATTTCATCGTATTTAGGGTTTGTCCTGTCAGCAAAAAGTTTGAGCGTTTGCAGACTTAAGTCGCTGCTTTGCGGTTCAGATCGCTATTCCACAATTCAAGGAACCTTTAAGTTATTTCTAATTGAGCCGTGACGAAGAACAAGCCATACATCCCCATTCATGCCGGTGTGTTGAGCTTTGAATAGGGTTTAAATAAGCAATCAATCAATTCTGTGCGCCCTGTACATCATTCCTAGATAGCCCTAAGGTGACTGAGCCGTCGCTATATAGCCACCAGTTAATTTTCCGCATAAAGCTCCTTCAGAAGCTAACTTGTATCTTTAAGCTACGCATCTTAGCCAGTAAAATATATCATTACGAAACGAGTTTATGCTGTGACTAGGTCAGACCAAATGGCAACGAGATAGCCAGAAGTAAAAAACGAGGATTGAGGAGTGTCGCGAGTTTCTTCCTATCTTTAAAGCCTCTACCAGACTACTCTCACCCTTTAAATTATAGAAACGGTTGAGAAACGTTACGGGCCAATGTCCTTATTGATTTGGGATGAGTGTGGGTTCACACCTAACTTGAACTTGGAAGGTTTATTCAGCTAGAGCTTAAACTATATTCTGATGCAATATGGTTTGTCATCTTTTGTGTGATGCATCTTACAAAAATTTACAGAATTTACTTGAAGCAGCCATATGCAAATATGTTCTCGATATATTCAATTATGTGTACGTTCTAGGACTTGACACATTTTTGCGGAAAGATTTAGATACTCAATGAGACGACCTAATTTGAAAATTATTTTGCTTTAAATAGATATTTCAGACCATAGACTTCGATTTAATAGAATTCAGATGACGACGAATCATTTATACGAGCAAACAATCAAAATGCTTTTTCGATGCCTTTTTTTTTTATTTCATTCTATAAACAACAGATTTCTTCGAAAGAGCTACGACACCACAGTATTACGCACTCGATGTGCCTTTGGCATGGAGTTCCGGCCTTCTTAAATGCCATCGGAATCAGCAATCACCACCGCCGAGCCTGTCGAACCAAGCTAACGGGTCAATGAAGCTTCGATGAGAAATCTTGTCGAGACGATAGCGAAATGGCGAGGCCGAGACCTGAACACTGAGCAGCATATTGGCCGACAGCATCGTTCGAGGTTAATGTTCTTCTCTTCGGCTCGACGACCTCCAACGCTCGTGGAGGCAGCCGTCCTCCTAGCCGTCCGTGGGGCTAGCTTTATTTTTTCCCCGTCTCTCTCCTTAGTCAATGTAGCAGGTAAGAAACAAACGCTCCCGCTTTCCATTTCCTGTTTGTTCCCCCGGCTCGGTTTTTTCGGTTTTCCTCCTTCTAAACAAGCAGGCAAAGTCTTAGGAACCCTAAGGGTGTTTCTCCAGAAGGTAGACGGTCCAGGGAAATTTTTGGGGGCACGAAGAGGTAGGGTCTTCAGGACTTTCTGAAAGACCTGTTTTTCACCTTTTTTTCTCCATTCGTTATCCAGCGCGGAAGATAGAGAGAAACAAAGCGTATTTTTTTCCTTCATTTTTTTGGTCTCCTCTTTTTCTCTTCGAGTCGCACTGAAGTAACTAGCGACCGTCCGCAAGGGGCAAGGTAAGGGGCGAAGCTTTGTCGCGGAGGAAGGCGAACCTCAAGGGTAGGAACTTGGAAACCTGCGTATCTACGCGTTTTCTGTTACCGGAACATTGCCGGTGGTGGTGGCGGCAGTGCCAATAGCTGCAGTTTCGATTCGACGTCCATCGTTCGTTTCGTAGGTTGTTTCTTTGGCTCTGATCAGCGGCGGATTTTGTGCTTTCATTCGATTGAAATATGTCGATTTTTCTTTGTTTGTTGGTCTTGACCCGTGGGCCGCCAAACTCGACCCGCGCTTTTGCTAGGTTGAACTGAAAACCCCCCACGGAAACCCCACCATAGCTATCCCGGGACGAAAGCCTACTCTCGGACTTTCAGTTTCGGCAGGGTTTCCTCTACATAGACTATCTTCTTTCTAGCAGCTCGGATACGCTGTCGTTGTGTCCTACCCGATAGCGTGGGGCCATGCTTGGTTTTATCGTATCTACCTCTGCTTGCAAGGGGAAGAGGACGTGGTGAAGAGACTAGTGAATAGTTCAAGGAGTTGCATGAAAGGTTACCTGTTGGAGGTGAAGAAGGATTTCGCCGTTTTGAAAGTGGAAATCTTGTCGGTATCGATGAGATTCTGGTTGACTAAACCATCTTTGGTGGTGCACGCAAACTCGAACCGAGCTGTTACTTGTTAGAATATATGAAAACGATAAAGAAGTTGATTTGATAATGGTTTAGAGTGTAATCGGAGGTAGTTATAAGATCATATAACCACCCACTATTTTGCCAGACCGCATACTGCAAAACAAAAACGAAGTAAACTAAATCGGAATGAGTTTGCTAAATGTCAAGGAATATCCCTTTGGGTTGCTTCATATGCACATTACCAGTAAGAGCCTATGTCTCATCAACTTTTTGATCCCAATACATGCCAGTTCGGCCTGCTTTAACTTACGTGCACAACAAAATTTCAGAACGCATTGGTATTTCGCTTGGCAAATATAACTAGAAGACAGAAAAGGCTTAGCAAGCAAATGGCTTCGAGTCCAATGGATATAGGTTTCAAAAGACTCTTGTCAAATTGTCGCGTACTCAATGCGACCATTTGGCAAAGGTTTACCATATACGTGCTCTGAGCAGCTAATTAGACGTTGACCAGCGTTATATAACATGAACTATGTTTTTATACTTTTGCCTAACTTTAGTTCCTTGTAAACGCCCTTAACGGGTCTTCCCTGTGATGAACTGAACGTAACAGTATTTGAAACTTGGTCTGAAGCATGTCTCTATCTAGGTAGTTCACTCATAGCTCCCATTTAGCACATACATGGCCTTTTCTCCTCGTTGATTCTATTGTCCAGCCAAGAAATTCAATTTTAGTAGTCGGAAAAGAGTCTAGTGCATGACGGGGGCTCTGGCATACAATATGCCGAAATTCGTCTAAGACTGCTCTCTAGATGGAAGCGGCTCCTGGACAATTCGAAGGCCCCCTCATTTAACAACAGAAACGTTGCATACAGTCAGAGTTGGACTGGAACAATAACATCACTGGCATCTATTAGGAACAGGAAATATATATTGCGCATTCTATCATATTTAAGATTATATTATATAATATTAGCGATTTAGAATTGAACATTACAGCTACGATTTTTAATTAAATTACAAAAAATGATAAAAAAACTTTGATGCGGGATTGGAACGTCTAGTGCTCATGGAGTCGAAGGGAAGGTCTTCGACATTTTTGCGGAAATATTAGCTCTTTCCAGAAAGCTTTGCTTCCATTTTTTCGTTCGGCATTTGGGGCTCAACAG